CAGGGACCCGATCTCCAAAGGCCTATCAGCCCAAATCATTGTCATATTCGGAATCAGCATAGTCGATAACCTATTTTCCACTTAGTTTTAGGCCAAAAGCGATTTGCCAGTTAGTGTCCTTTCCTCGTTAGCGGGCTGGGACTGGAAAATTTTAACTCATCACAGACTGGGACTGGAAAAGTATCAGACTAATTTGACTTGTAATTTCTTGACTTCTTGTACCAAGATCTTGGAAATTCTTGAATCATTGTTTTATTTTACACTCTTGTTTAAATATAAGTGCGAATACTTTCACACTTAGAATAACTTAAAGTTTTTTGCTAATTGATCATAGTTCTTTCCCCCACCCGTCTTTTTTTACCAGTTTGTAGAGGACACTTCGGAGTATACGTATCCACAAAGCTTTCAGTTCCCGGATTTGTAGTTTTTGATAAAAAAATTTTGAAGTTTTTTTCGGGTTTTCTGCCCTATTTTTAAAATTTCAATAAAAACTTCAGCTTTTGATATGAGGAGTTGATTCTGACGTAGGTCGATAGAGAACATTGACTTCTATAAGGAAAAAAACTTTACATCGTTCTCAAATGAAGTTTGACGGAGAAATTTAACTTTCACCTTCCCGAGGAAATTTTAGGGCTAAAAGTATTTTGAAAAGGCCTTACAGCTAGTTTCGCTCGAAGCAAGCATTTTGAAACAAAACTCTGGATACAAAAGTTGTTCAGAATCGAATTCCGGAGTCGCTCACGAGAGCTTTTTTTGCTTTTTAAATTGAAAAATATGAAATTTTAAAATTTTAAAAACTGTAAAATTTAATTTAAAAGCCCAAAACAGAAAATTTTAAAAAACGCTCTCGTGAGGGACTCCGGAATTCGATTCTGAACAACTTTTTGTATCCAAAGTTTTGCTTCAAAATGCTTGCTTCAAGCGAAACTAGCCGTATTTTGGAGTGAAAAAATCTTCGCTGATCCAAAAACCAGCGATATTTTCAAGTTTTAAATTTTTTGGTCAAGCCTTCCCAGTTTGTAGAGGACACTTCGAAGTGTATGTTCGGAAGTTTTTTCGGGTTACCGAATTATTTGGCTGAGAAAAAAAATTAATTACTTAAAACAATATTGTTAAATTCTCGACTTACCAGACTTACCGAGCGACCAAAAACGAATTCTAAAATTCTTAAGGTAGTCCATATTGTAGCCCGTGAAATTCTTTGTCAGATGAGGTATTGCTTGAATCTTTTTGTTGCGTTGCTACATGAAATCTGAGAGAAGTTATGTGGTGAATAGTCATTATATGATCAGTTACAGATGTACGGTTTCCAGAGATGGGCAGGTCCGGTACTTTTCCAGTCCCAGTCTGTGATGAGTTAAAATTTTCCAGTCCCAGTCCGCTAACGCTCGTGAGAGATCTGGCCACATGCTTCTTCACCAGGAAAAAAAAAGAATTTTCCCAACATAGTTCGTTGTATTCCTTTTCACATCAACCTTTTTTAAGCATTTATATACAGAGCATGAGAAGACAGCAATGTGTGAAAGTCAGACTTACGAGTAAAAGTTCTTCGAAAAGTTTGAAAAGGCTAGAAAGCAGATCTGATCTCTAGAAAAAGGTATTCTGTTAAAGTTTTTGGAGCTTTTTGCACTGTTGAAACATTGCTTTTCTATCTATCGCCCCATCATTTGTAAAGAAAAAAAATCACTTTACACGCTTTATGTTTATGAAATTACAAAAATAAAGCAGTGAAGAGTTGAAAATTATATTGTATCATTATTATATCAGTTAACGAACACAATAGAGGAATAACGCGCGACGACTTATCAGAATATATTTTGAAACACTTTCTTAGAAAGAACAGAATAAACGTATAACAAAGTGGCGATTTAATAGACTAGCTGGTCTGAATAGTTATTATAAATTATTTAGAAAATACTTTGACGACTATTGTCGAAAAGACATAAGCGTGCACCCTTACTTTTTATTTTTAGTACAATATATAAAAAGAGGCAGTTCAGTTTATTAATGTAAGTAGAACTAAGACATTGTAGTATTTCCTTCACGTAAATAGGTACTTATCAACCAGCATACGTAAAGAAATATGCACTGTAATGTATCACAAAATTTTCTAGTATATCTTTCTTCTTGTTAACTGAAGAGATTTTCTCCTCATACGTCGCATCTCTCAAAAATGTGATTAGCGGGCGGGAGAAATATCATCGTTCTTTGTCGTCTATCTGTCAAAAAAGTTTTATACTCACTATTGTTGTGATGAGTTTGTATGCATCAGTTTTAGTGCATCAACGCGTCTACATTTTTGTGAATTGTGTTAACTCTAACAGTAGCTATCTTTTTCGTTTTAGTTTCGTCGGTATTCATTTTGGTTGAAAACAAAATGAATTCATTTAGTATTTATTTTGCATTTATTCAATTATTATTAATTTACATTCGCAATACTCAAATGTTAGAACGTACACGTAAGTTTGAAATACAGCACACACTGCTTAGGTTTGGACGTGACTATTCGGTACGTGATATTAATGGCAATTCAAATTATAAAATAGTATACAAATGGTTACACAGTTTAGGAAAAACTTTAAAAATTGAAGAAAATCATAAAGTATTGTACGAAATCAAACATGTAGTGGGTCGTTTATATGCCGAATGGCAAATCTATCAAAATGAAACTCTAATTAGTCAACTGAAACATGAGCCGTCAATATTTGATGTCATATATAAAGTAAAAAGTGTGAATGGCAATTATCGTATTCAAGGTAATTTTTTATTACATAATTTTAATATTCGAAAACGTAGAGTTAAAGTGGCGAAAATCCATAAAAACCATGTTCATTCGAGTGATACGTACGGTATTGACATTAATTCAAAAGAAGATCCAGCATTTATCATCGCTTTGTGTATCATTATTGATGTAATTCGACATCATTACTCAGATATGTAACATGGTCAAGAGCTTTTACAATAATTCCAAATATTTTTCTATAATGTGTGTCCTAGGTCAATCTGTAGCCCCTATACTAATCTGGTATGCCATTTTATAGCAAGAAGTGGAATTGTTTATATAGCAAGGGTTTGTCTTAATTTTCTGTTGCTTTTTGCTGTCAACTTCATTCTTCTAATATAAGTAAAATATACTCTTTTGATATATGGCATTTCCAGCAAAATATTTATTTGCAAAGGAAAAGATTTTTAATAAGCAAAGAGTGATGTATCAAATTCATAAAGTTTGGTTGTATATCTATGGTCGGTAAAAAAAAACAATAGACTCGGATGTTTCTTGAATAACGTTTGACAAGAAAGTGATAGATGCTTGCGGTCTTCACCAAATGGAAGCCAAGACCGGACTGCATCAGTCAGTATCGATTCTAATCGTCGGACAGAGTTTCGCAATGAAACTAAATCATTGTTTACGCTTAATATTGAATATGTAGCAAGAATCCACTTAGCCATATTTAATTTAGAAATTGGCCAATGCTACATTAATAGATATAATGAAACAGAAAAACAACATGCCAGAGTGCTCACATTAGGTCCGATTTGGTTGGAATTGCTTGCTTTCGTGATACGTAAATATATCTCCTTGCCATTCTTTCATTTAGAAAAACAAGTCCACCGCGTATACAATGCACACGCTTTGATCGAAACTAATGTTCGCTTCATGAACTTCAATGTTAAACGAGAGCCTCTTCATCGTGGTAGACATGTTCAAGAAACAGCTTTGTTTCTTTAAAAAAAGGCGAGGTTTGAATGTTAAATACAAGTTTATTCTTTATTTGCTTAGTTAGAAAGAGCACGCAAACCTGCATAAGGTTGCTTCAGTCAAACTTTTTCGATAAAGTTATCCTACTCGCGAACTGAATCTTTATAATAAAAACAGTAATATACGTGTCTGATTGAGTAGCACAAACTGACAGACTCGCGTTGATAATAGTTCCAATTTTGATTTGACGTCTGGCCATGTGACGATTATTGCATTTACAGTTCACTCTTTGTCCTTGTTCTTGCGCTTCTCCCATGGATAATAAACAGAGAAAATACTTGAGAGATTTTTTGATTCAATCCATAATTTGAAAATCTTTTAAGTCGATATTCATTGGCCTTGGTCACGAGTCTTTTGTTTAAAGACACGTTTTAACTTAAAATCACAAAGTTGATGTAACGTTTGCGTTTCTATGAAAATATTTTGAAGAACTATTTGATAGAAATTTAGAAGCAATTGTAGAAAATGCTTTCATTCTCATTAGATCGAAACTTCCTGAGTGTGTTTATGAAAAGGGTAGAAGTATGGCAAGAAACTGTCAAATTTGGAATTATGAATCTCCAGTAAAATTGGAGTGAGTCAGAAATTACACGTTCTAAATGTATTTTTTCTTACAATGATTTTGTGGCGTCACTATAGAATTATTTTATGACATATGTTTCGGGGACACTTCAGTCACTCGGTGACCATTTTTAACGTTGTGGTTCCAAATTTGATAGTTTCATGTCATACTTTTACCTTTATATGAACGCATTCCGGCCATAAAGTTCAGGAAAACGCACTGTTAATAGTTGAAAACTGGTTTTGTATTTTTTTTAACGACTTTTGACTGTAAATTGTGAAATCCTGCCACACTTGATTCACGAGCAGATACATTTGTAAAAGTTTGCTTGATCTCAAAAAAAATCCATCTGGAACTAATAACGACTGAGTAATTCTGAAAATTCAATTTTCCGAGATCAATATTTGCACTACTACTCGATAGAAATAAACTCTCTGTAATAAGGAGCAGCTGTTTTAGATTTTCAGATACGCTCATCCATCGCCTGCTTTTGGATTCTTGCTTGTCTTTCATAACGTTTTCACTCGAAATGAGAGAATAGTTCAAATTCATGAAAAGTTCAACATCTTTGAGAAGAATCGGCCTATACGCACTAGTGTGCACAGAAAAAATCATTAATCTCCATTAGTGTAGCGATACTATCGACTGCCATATGCGCGAAAGTCCGAAATAGTTCGCCAATAAAGAAGGCAAACTGATACACAATTGTCTCGTACTCGTTAATAAATACCTGTGAAATGTTTTATCTTTTGAAATATCCTTCAATAGGCTTCATTCATGTCTGTCCTCAGTTAAAGCAAAACTGTTGAAACGGTCTTTCCTGCTGTGTTAAGGTTTGTTACATACCAATAAACCGATAAACATGAGCTGATAATTTTATACTAAAACAATGTTTGTTTGTCCGTTCATGCATGCTTGTTTTATTGGGAATAAAGAGAAAAAGAACAGACAAATAAGCTGCGTAAAAGACACAAAAACAAGTATGAGAATGAACATTCACAATATGAAAACAAAAAACTCTTTGAGTGAAGTGTATAGTCAACTAAAACTGACTAAGTTTTTTTTCTTGAACAACACAAAATAAATTAACTATGAGTATTATTTCATGAAAAAAAGACTTGTTAGTCTAATTTCACGCAATTCTTAATCATCAACATGGAATAGAAAAAGTTTTGAACAACAACAAACAAACAAACAGATTCTCAAGAAATTTCGTCATAAAATAAAAGAAGATACCTAAAAAATAGTGATATTTGCATTCCAATTTTTAGTCCGTGGTTCAATGATTGATGTTGATTTGGTATACTACTTTCTTTCGTTTTAGAGTTTTAACTCATGAGAGTACCATTTGAATTGAATTATGTTGCTAAACTTGACTAGTAAAATATTGATAAAAATTAAACTACGATTAAATTATATTCACAAGTCTTTTTTAAAAAAAAGAAATTAGTCTTTCTTTTAAAATCCTAATAATATAACCTAATTTTTTTTTGTTTAAAAATAATTTTGCGAAGGCGACTAGAGTATTTTATTTATTTATTCTATCTTTTTGAAATTTCTTCTATTGTTTCTCGTTGTATTTTCGTTTTTGAACGACAACGTTGACGAAAATCATTTACAAAACGATTTAATTTTTCTGTCAAAAATATGGCCATTTCTCGTCGATTTGTAGAGATTGTGTTCAATGACAACCATTTATGTTCTAAGCATTCAGGAATAATTAAACGATTACTAAATAAAAACATAGAAATATTTGGTTAGATAAACAAAAAAAATGATATCATTCATACTTTGGTGATTTTTTCAAACATTGTTGAACAAAAATGACGGCTTCTTGTGTCACATCATCATAAAATTCGTTTGTATTCCATCGAACAAATGTCACATTTTGATTTGTATCATCATCATAAACACCAGCAAATGGCGAAAAACCGCTCAGTCTAGAAAGGAAAGAAAATTATATTTTAATTCTAATCAAAATCTATTCTATATTTCGGTTTCTAATAAAATTTCACTGTTACTTACAATGTAGCCGTAAGTGCTCCAATACTCCACACATCTGCTTGAACACCGGTTGCTTCATCATTTAATATTTCTGGTGCTAAATAAAAAAAGAAAAAATAATATAATGTCTTTTAAATATATGTTGAATCTTTACCTGAGTATTCATTATTTGGATTGATTGAATTTGTGACATTATGTCCTTGTGGTGTCGCTAATTGTGTTGCACATGAAAAATCGGTCAATTTTACATTTAATGATAATTGATTTTCATTAACAACACTTGATGGATTAATGTTTAAATGAACAATACCATGAAAATGTAAATATTGTACAGCATCCAATAATTGTCTCAATATTCTCACAATTAATTCTTCAGTGTATTTATGACGTAAACAGATATAATCACATATTTCCAAATAATTATCCATTGTTAATACAAATGAATTTTTCCACATAAAACCATCGATCATTTTAATTATATGATCATGATCAATTTGATTTAATAAATCAAATTCTTCTGGTACATAAGCATTCGAATGTGATTGAGCTATATTAGTTAAATCAACAACTTTTACAATTCGTACACTTTCTGTTGCTCGTTCAGCACATCGTATACAACATGAATTATCATAACTATTTAATTCTTCAATCATTTTATATAAATCCCATGGATTTTGATCACGTTTTAATACGGTTTTTTCACCTAATGTTTTGGGTTTACTCAATTCTGGTTGCAAAAATTCGCTAACAGTTTTTAATGATTTTTGATCAATTCGATGTTGATGTTCCAATAGACGATAGGCGGAACGACGATCAATTTTTTTCAATGGTTCTGTACCATCTTCTAGCGTTTTAATTTCTTCTGAACCCCAACTATACGCTGATATACCAATTTTATTAATACACGATACACGAAAACGATAATTGGTGTTTGATTTTAAATCTTTAATAATGGCTGATTCTTCAATGGTAAATGTAGAGATTGTCCATTTAATATCTTCACGAGCTTTGTAATCAACACGATAACCGGCTATATCATTATTACCATCATACGATGGTGCACTCCATATTAAATATGCTTCATTCGATGAAATATCAACAACTAATGGCCGTTGTGGACGATCAGGTACATCTTAAGAAGAAAAGCAAAATGAAAAAAAATACATCAGCAGAAATATAGGGTCAATTTACCTCCTATTAACAATCGAGCTTTGCATGTCGCATCTCCATAGACATTTCTTGCTACACATCGATATATTCCAATATCGGATGCTTTTGCGTAGTTTATTGTTAATGTACATAGACCATCTTCACCTTGAGCAAATTGTATTCTATCATCTTCAATAATAAACTCATCATTACGATACCAAAATATCTTGGGAAATGGATTTCCTTGCACTTTACACCGTAAAATAACTGTGCCACCAATTAAAAATGATGAATCAGTTAGTTTTTCTTTAAATACAGCCGCAAATCCTAGAAACGCAATACAGTGAAGTTATTTTCTACTTTCTATCCTTGTGATCTCTTATGATTATACCTTCTCCTTTAGTTGAACGTTGTTCTTGTGTGAAACCTTGTGCTTGAAATTCTCTCGGTATACTCATACCACGATAAGGTGACGATCTTGAAACACTTCCATAGCGTGATGACAATCCGTATTGATGTGCTGGTGATTCACTGGTTCTTCCATACGGTCCATAGAAATTATTATAAGAGGACGATGATATCGTTTGTTGTAGTTGTGACGATGGTGCCGCTGGTACACTTAATTCTCGTGACACTGAGCATCCACTGTGTGGTACTAGCGAACAACCACGATGACGTCGTCCTTGAACATCAACATGCAATCGTTCTTTCACTGTATCTCGCGTCAGTAGACGTTCTGGTGTCATTTGTAAGGAACTGGTAGTTGGTAAAAGATCATTTGACTTATAACGATTCAAATAAGTCATACGACGGTAACCACGTAAACGGACAGAAAAATCAACATCAGCCATTGGTAATAGATAACTGCCTGGTACTAAGTTTTCTTCGTCCTCTGATTGTGCGCGACGATGATGCTCATGATCACCATCAACTTCCACACTCATATCTAATAGAAAAAGTTGAAACTATCTTTTATATTAATCAAATAGATATCAACATACCACGTGATGTTCGTTTTCGTCCGGCTCTAATATGTTTATCATCTTGTATACGATCACGATCCGACGTATAAGCATCATGATCATATCGTGTGTGATGTAAATCGGATATTGTTTGTAATGGACGAGTTAATATTCGGCGATGTTCACGCTAAAAAATGCATCATTGATTAATATATGATCGAATATGATAAAGAAATGTTTCTATTTACATCATATAGTTGTCTGGAATAGGCAGCATGTAAACGATCAGATGAAAGAGGTGTCGTATCAACATGTTGAGATGCATATTTCAACCAAGGATGATTTAATGCTTGTTCAGTTGTCATACGATTTCTAAAAATAACATCAATGAATATATTACTCTCTTTGTTCAAACATCAGTTATATATATAATCACCTTTGGTCATTCACCAACAATTTGCTGATGAAATCTTTTGCATCATGTGATAAGTTATTCAAATTATCGTTAAATCGCCAATTACCATTTTTGATATTATTTAACGTTTCAAAATCATTTGTGCCAGCAAACGGTGTTGAGCCTCCAAGTAATAAGTAACTCAATATACCTCTAAAATTAATAAAAAAATCTTTTTAGTCATGTTTGAATCTATCATTGCCAATTTATCTGGAGTATGAATTGAAAACACAATACTTACACATTCCACATATCTGTTAGTAATGATACTGGTGAACGGGTGACAATCTCTGGTGCAACGTATTCTGATGATCCGTAATCAGAATAGAAATTTGACGAGCCTTTGAGATGTTTTGCATTTGAAAATCCGAGTAGTCGCACATTAACCGGATCATAGTAATCGTCGATGTAGATATTATCAGGCTAAAATACGACATACAGTTTTTTTAGGTATTTATTATACATTACAATAAAATGATAAAATATTACTTTAATATCAAGATGTACAATATTTCTGGAATGTAAATTTCGTAGAATTTCAACTAAATTTCGTATGATCAATGCCGTTTCACGTTCTGTATAAGTTTTACGTTCAAGCATATGTTCAAGTAGATCAACACCGGATACACTATAATTAAAAAAATAATGATAATAACGACTGAATACTCGTGAATTTATAATACATACTTATCAAGTACAAGAGCAAGCATTTTATCACTTTCATAAGCATCGTGTAAACGTGGTACGTTGGAATCATAGATCTTAGACAAAACATCCATTTCACGTCTTAACCAATCAAAATAAGTGGGATTATGAACAATTTTTGCTACATATTCTTTGGCTGTGCGTCGTTCAATAACGCGATATACAGATGAAATTGGTCCACTATAAAAATAAAGTCTTTTTGTGAGAAACAAAGCACATGAAACTAGTGTTCTTTACATACTGTGAAATCCTTTCTAATATATCATAATCTTCGTCAAAACGTTTCTTTGTAAATGCTATTGCTGGGCGTTCCAAATCAGGTCTTGGAATATTTAATAGGTTATCTAAATAAGTAAAATATGTGTATTATTTCTAAACTTTTTATAGATTGAAACAAATACCGTCAATGGAAACATTAGCAGAGGTTAGAGTGGCACCAGCGATATTTTTAGCTGTACATGTATATAATCCTGTATCTTTTTCAATTACACCATTTATGGTTAAGTGCCATACGTCGGGTTCAACATGACGTATTCTTGTTCGATGTGAATCCGTTAATAAACGCCAGTCTTTATAAAATCTCACTTCGGGATAAGGTATACCATCTACTTTACATTCAAGATGTAATACATCGTGCGTTCGAACACGTTGATCTTTTAGTGGTTCTATGAACATCGGTGGATCTATGATAGAGAAAAAAAATAAGTATTAACAATTATTTGTATTAGTGCTACATTAATTTTATGCCTTACCAGCCAGATATAAATGTACAGTATGTCGTGCTGAACCATGTTTATTTTCTGCAACAATTTCATATGCTCCTTCATCAGATGCTATGGCTGAATCGATATGCATGTAACAATAACCACGGCGATCATTGTGAAGTTGAATGCGTGGATCGTCGGGTTCAATTTTATTTCCCTGAAGAAATATGATAATATAAGACTATTTCTTATTATGTATGCGTATAAGATACATACATTGTGATACCATGTTACTTCGGGTATTGGAAAACCTAATAGTAAAATGGCAATACGAGTTTTTTGTCCTTCAATAAAATATTGAACATCGGGACCATCTGTCTGTATTGATGGTCGGCTACCACCAATATCATCATATGATGTTTCTGGTTTTCTCTTTTTCGCTGGTATTTCATCTTCAATACGTGGTACATCGGCTATAACAAAACAAATATTTAGAATACACAACACTTAGAAGTATTTAGTGCATACATTTTGTTAACAATCGGCTTGTAACAGGTGGTGATGGATCACTAACACCATAGGCGTTTTCTGCTCGAACACGAAACGCATAAATGAGATTTAAATTTAAACCACGAATGTAAATACTAGTGTCTGTAAAATAAAAAGGTTTTACAATATTCATATTATTATGTGATTATTCTACATACCAGGTAAACCCTGGGCGTAACATGTCCAAGAATATGTTCTTGGATCCCGTACTTCTACTATATATGTCAGAGGTGACTGTCGACTATACGATGGTGAATGTTCCCAACTTAGTAGTAGGCTTGATTTGGAATGTGGTGTGAGTAACAATTGTGACGGTGGTTGCGGTATGATACCGGGTTTATTTGGATCTCTTTTATCAACTAGATCTGGTACATCAAAACTGACTCGTCGTTTTAACCTCGCTGCATCGTCATGAGCTGTTATGGAAAAAAAGATAATATTAATCTGTTTTTTGAGCATCACACGCACACTTACGTTCAACAGTCAATTCAGCTGAACAATTGGTAGAGCCAGCTCGATTTTCGGCAATAATTGTGATACTTCCAGCATCGTCTTGAGTACAATCATTTATCACTAGTGTCACTTTACCATTTGTTTGTAATTGAGCCTGATATTTGTATTTATCACGTTCAACATCCAGTGGTAGACCATCTTTCAACCTATATATGAAAAAATTTGGAATAGTAGACAAATTAACCTAAAAAGACTTACCATCGAATGGTCGGCGACGGTTCGCCATTAACAAAACAGTCAAATTTTGCTCTTTGTCCTTCAATTACTGTACAATTACGTAATTTTCTTGTAAATGATGGTGCGATATCATTGATTCCTTTTTTAGACTCATCAGCAGTTCTGTGCAACAAATAATATCATTTAGCTAATATATATTGACGACAAGCTACATACGTTTTATCTTGTTTTCTTGTTGATTCGATCAGATGAAGATTGGCTGAGCATGATTTTTCACCAACAGTGTTTTCTGCTTTACATAGGTATTCTCCTTCTTCATTTTCCGTAACATTCAAAACGGCTAATACATAGACTTCCTTTTCTTGTATAAGTTTATATTTATCATTCGCCTATACAACGAAAATACAACAAAAGACAAGTTGAACATATTTGCATAACAAAGATTAGCAGTCTCACCGTTATTTTCTTGCAATTGCAGTACCAAGTTACTTTCGGAACTGGTTGTCCACTAATAACAGCTCGAAAATGTGCATTTTGACCATCATGAACAAATACATCAGAAATTGGTTCCAAAATTCTATAAGAGCAAAGTAAATCAAATCTTTTTTCAATAGTATAATAATTTTTCATACTTTGGAGGCATATCGTCGGTGCTCATTTTTCGTACATCTTTCTCATGAAGCTTGATGTTAACTGTCGCGGATGTTGATACTTCACCATATGGATTACGCAAACGTAATTTATAAATTCCACCATCTTCCGAATACACTTCTTTCATCGTTAATTTGGCTACGTTATTTTTCAAATCAATTGATGTGAAAATATTTTGTTTTAACTGTATGCCATCCAAATACCAAGATGCTTCGACATCATCACCTGTGGATGCGTATAATTAATGACGTGTAAAAGTATTATTAAAAGATTACACTTACCTTCAAATTCACATTCAAGACTAAATGAGCCACCTTCAGGAACTGTAAGATCCTGTAATGGACGTATAATATGAGGCTTCTTCTTCTCAGCATCTGCAAGATCTATAAATAGAAAAGAATATTGATCTATTTTTTGACAAAAAATTTGTCTTTTAATTACCTTCAACTGATACTTGACAACTACTCTCTTTATCGTCATTATCAATTTTTATAGTATATAATCCTTCATCCTCAATTGTGGTTGGCCCTCGAATTGATAATGTATAACGTAATCCTTCTGATTTTGCTTGCACTCGAGGATCATCCGATTTTAACGGTATTCCATCTTTAAACCATGTTACTTTGACGTTCGGTTTTGATAGCTGACAAGTCAAAGACAACGGTTCTGCATTATACAATATCCGTGTTTTTGGTAACATTTTTGTGAAAAGTATTGGCAATGCTAAACGTTCGGCATAAAATAAATAAATTTAAAATTTCGTCTACATTAACACTTACGTTCAACAAGAAGGCTTCCATCGGTATGTTCATCATCGACCATACATCTGTAGTTTCCAGCATCTTCCATCTGTACATTATGAATGATTAATGTTAAAAGATCATTTTTCACAGAATATACAAGACGGTCACTTGGTGTCAGACGAACACCATCTTTGTACCATTTAACATTTGAACTCAATTTTGATATACGACATTGAAATCTGATCGTATCCTAGAAGAACAATAAAAGAAGTTTAACATTGATTAATCACATTACTTTTTCAATTTAATACTTCTTCAGTGGCTTGTATATTTTTCAATTGTTCCAGAAATGTAGTTGTCAATCTTTTTACAGTTAGATGACACGATGTTTTAATATGTTCACATCTCATTTCGTATAATCCTTGATCATCTGGCTCACAATCATCAATTAATAATTCATATCGATTATCTAATTGTCTTGAGCGTATACGCGAATGAGACGTTGTAAACAAACGTTGCTCATTATGATACCCTATAGCAAATATGAGAATTATATAATATTGAGTCAAAAACACAGACATTCTTGAATTCTTACATGCAACATCCATATCAGACTTTGATAGTTCACAAAAAAACGTCAAACTTTCATTCTCGGTAACCGTACAATCTTCTAATGGTGTAACAAGTTCAACCGATTTATCTAAAATAGAAAATTAAAATTTAATAGATGTCATATTTTTTCTATCATGTCTACACCTACCGATAATGCTTAATTTTGCTTCTGTCACTGCATCTTGCACGCTACATTTATACCATCCTTTATCGAGTTGTTTCAGTTTTGAGACACGTAAATAATGACGATTTTCAACTGTTTCAATATCATATTTATTCGATTGTGTTAAACGTTTATCACCATGATTCCATTGAACACGACATGGTTTAGATGTTTCACAAACAAATTCTACCTGTTCATCTTCATTTTTCACTTCTTCTTGTAATGGTAAAGTAAATGTGACAGGAATTGCTAAAGTCAAAAAAATGGTTGTGAAATAATCGAGTTATCATCTGAAAATCGTCTAGTACCTTTCACAGTTAACGTAGCACTTGTTACTACTCCATCTGCAATACATTTATATTCACCAGCGTCATTCCATTGTGCATTACGAACTGTTAACGAATGTTTTGCGCCGTTTTGCTTAATTTCAAAATGATCGTCTAAATTTAATAAACATTAGATCCCAAATCTTTTAGTTCAGATAGTTAAAATGAGATAGATATACATGAATAAAACCTACAATTTTCTATTAATTGACCATCTAAAAACCATTTGACAGGTATATTGGCTTTGTTCAATTCGCATGAAAACTCAGCAGTTTCATTTTCAGAAACGCGCGCATTTGTGAGTCCTTTGATAAATTCCGTTGGTATACCTACAACGGTAATATAAGAAAAATGTGAGTTAGATTTTTTAAAATTTACATTTCAGTTTTGATAAAACACGCTGATGAAATTGGCTATAACAAGCGATATATTTACAATTTGACTTAATAGTTACGAGCAATTATATTTTGTACAGTATATTGATAGATAAAGACTTACGTTTGACTTCTAACGTTGCAGTTGATTCCAGTTCATCGTCAACTTTCACTGTTACTTTTCCATTATCATTTAATATTGCTTGTTTTATTTTTAAAATATATTTTTTTCCATCTGGTGATATCGGAATATCTATACGTCCGTTGGTATTCTCACTTGTTACTAATTGATCATTGATGAACCATTCGATTTTTGTTGGTATTTTATTTAGTTCACATTCAAATTGACATGGTTGATCTTGTTTGACGGTACGATTACGTAAATCTTGTACAAATTGTAATTTAGTTACTTTTAAATTAGCTGTACAACTTGTACGCGCTTCAACAGCATCATACATATATTTTCCTTGATCACTTTCATCAGATGAAAATATAATTAATTTTGATTCATGTTCACTGTCGTCGTAAGTGATTTTAATACGATTATCAGGTACAATGACTTGATCATTATGTAACCAATGTGATTCATCTGATGGTTTCTTATTCATTTTAACTGTAAACACGAGTTTTTCATTGGGTGTATAGTTTAGATCATCTAGTTCTTTAATAAACACCAACGGTTCTTTTTGTACATATACACGGCATTGTGAACGAACACTATCACAGACACATTCCAGTAAACAATTATCATCGTCTTCCACTGTTACTTTAGCTATTTTTAATGAATGACCATATTTGTCATCCAGTCGACGAAAACGTCCAGTCATGGATGATAATAATTCACCATTTTTATACCATTGTACTTTTTTATTAGGTCGATATGTTTCAACATCTACCAGTAAATTTGTACCAACTTTTAGCGTTAACTCTGGTGGTAGTTCACGTGAGAATACCGGTTCTTCTTGTACACTTAACTGACATGATGTCTCAACATCGTCATTATAATGTGCTGAATATTTCCCACTATGATCTAATTCAGCTGATTCAATTTCAAGAGAATGATTCTGACCATCCATTTGAATACGATAAATAATGTTGTCAGATTTAATGGTCACACCGTCGCGTTTCCAAGTGATAGGCGTATCAGGTATCGATAATTTGCAATCGAGTTTTACTTTTGATTTGACACGTACAATTGTATCCGCCAATGTTTGAGTAAAGCGTACTCGTGAGGTTATCTAGTTAGAAGAACGAATTATAACATAGAGTTTTTAAAAGATATTCTACATACGTACCACACCGACAAATGCATAACCTTTCAAATTATCTGCAGTAACACTGTATTCTGCTTCATCATCAACTGATACTTTTCTAATTTTCATCTGTAGTATTTTTTCTTCATTGACAATTTCTATTTTTTCATTTGATACTAATTCGTTGCCATCTTTGAACCATTTTATCGATGATGGTTGTCGATTCAGTTCGCACTCAAGAACAATATCGGTATCTTCATTAACTTTTTGATCTTCTAATTTTCTGACAAATATCAATGGTTCTTCAAACTCTAAATCCTGTTTTTGTCTCTCATATGGATCGTGAACCAATACTTCTGTTTGATATTCGTATAATGGTTTATTATTCTTGCCTAGTACAACACATTTATAGATTCCTGCATGATCAAAGTCGACTTTTGGCACAGTAAATGTAACACGATAATGTTTGTCATCAATTTGTTTTGCTATTGTGTTGAGAGGGCGATTATCTTTTGTCCATTCAATTGGACATGGACGATTCGTAACGATTGATAAATTTAACTCATCATTTTGATCTAAATCGAGTAGTTTTGGAGGAGATTCTAAAACTTTTAATTTATCATCATCACTCGTTTTTTCGGTTAATGTCAAATCACGCTTGTCATCTTTTGTTTTTACAGTATAAGGACCAAAATCATCTTTTTCGACTGATTTGATTGTTAATGTACGTTTGGTATCCTCACTTGTTAGAGTATAACGGTTTGCCGTTGATTTTATAGGTGTTTCAGAGGAAGCAATTTTTATCCCATCGTGAAACCATGTAACATGACCTTGTGGAACATTGAGTGTACACGATATCGTTATCGATGAACCAATTGTACTACTCACATCTTCATCACATTGTACAATCAAAATTTTTTGTTCAGTTAACTTCACATTAAGCGATTCACTGATTGGTTCTATTTCAAAACGATATATTCCCTCGTCATCGGGTGTTGATGAACGAATCGTTAATGTATATGTGATACCATTATTATCTGGATTCTTTTCCTGTTTAAATGTAAAACGAGCGTCTTTTCTCAACGATAGATCTTTACCATTTTTGAGCCATTTTGGTTTTTTACTCGGTTCACGATTTAATGTGACGGATAAAGTGAACTCGTTACCAACTAATGGTAGTTCTGGTGTAACTTGAAGTGGAATGAGAACACTAATAGGAATTTCTTGGACTTTGAGACGAGCGGATTGTGTTAAACCATCATCAAGCTTTACGGTGTAGGTGTCGGCATCTTTGAGATCAACTGATGGAATAGTCATAGTAAATGAACAGTCAACTTGTTCAAATTTATATTTATCACTATTGGCAGTTGGTAGTGCACGATTTGCTAAAATTCACGAAGAAAATAGTTCATAAAACGAGTAGGAGTTAATTAAAAGATTTAATTAACTAATTAGTTAAAAGTTAATTTCTTACCTTTTAACCACTGAGGCAATTTAGGTGGCACTCTGTTTAATGTGAATGTTGCTGTCACCATATCACCTTCGTATGCGGGCTCTTTATCAAATTTCAGTGGTTGAATAAATCGGATTGGATCCGGTGTTAATCGCAATGTATAGGACGTATCAACGTCATCGGCATTCACTGTATATTTCCCTTTGTCTGTAGGTTTTGTTTTTGGTAAGTAAATTTTAAATGTAAAATTATCATCGTCTAGTTTAGTTTCTACATCATTCGGTAATTTCTTTCCATCTTTATAGACTTCGATTCGTTTTGGTTTTTTCGAAAACTGGCAACTTAGTTCAACATCTTCACCTTCTAACGGCTTGTCTTTATTCGATGTAAGGGGTTTTAATATTTGAAGTGGTTTCTCTTTTACTTTTAATTCAGCTGACACTTTTTCATTTTCATTTGCCGGTAATCGACATTCGATACGACCAGCATCCTCCGGACGAATATTTTTAATAACTAAAATAGATTTGGGACCATCAGATTTCAAGGTAAAGCGTGCATCACCATCAACATCGGTCGGAATTAGTTGACCATTCAAATACCACAGCAGTGGTTGAGTAGTAGGTTTATTGAGTTGAACGGTACACGTAACATTTTCATCTTCTTTTGGTAATTTTGGATTAATTTCCATTTCCCCAACAAATTTCAATGGCAATTCTTTAACATTCAACTGATAATCTGCCGTAACACCGTCAACTTCAAGTGTGTAGGTTTGTGAATCGTCTAGTTTCAACTGTTTGATCTTCAACGTTAATTTTTTCTCATTTTCACGTGGCTCAAAACGTCTATCGCTATCAATTGATTCTTGAGCTTTTAACCAGCGTATTGTTTTTGGTGGTAATGAGACATCGCATACAAGAGTCACCGTACCATTTTCAATAGCGTCACCCTCAAGTGTTATGGGACCAAGTTTTTGTGGAACAATTACATCGATTTTATCTTCAAGGTCATTATCGAGCAAGATGCGGTACTGTCCTAAATCGTCCGCTTCAATTTTTGATAAAAGCAATTCGTGAACGGTTGAATTTTCTGTACTTTTCGGAACAGCTCGACGAGATGTTACCTATTGGAAAATAAAAGATAAAGTTTGACTCTAATAATAGTTCCTGACAAAATTTTACAGAGAGAGAAAAGTTACCTTTCTGGCTCCTTTATACCATTCAACTAGTTTAACCGGCTTGGATGTTCTACAACGTAACACAATACTTTCTCCAAGATTCGTCGGCCCATTACTGACTATATTTTCATCCCACGGTTCATTTCTATCTTTTTCTAATAAAATATGAAGAGGTATACTAATTTCACTTTTTGTATCCAATTTTTTAGTTTTCAGTGGTTTAATCTCTACTTGTACCGAGCATTGTTTTCCATTTGGTAATCTCAATGTGTATTTTCCATCATCTTCATTCATTTTAACATTATCGATATCTAATGTCAAATTATTACCATTAGCATTTGTTTTAACACGATCGGATGTCAATGGTTTACCATTTCTTAACCAGACAATAGCTTCGGGTGTTTTAGCGGTCAATTCTTCTACTGGACAATTTAAAGTACATTCCAAATGAAGAGGTTCATTATCATTCAGGGAAATTATGCCTTTTAACGGAATTGTAAAATCATAATCTTGAGTTTCTTGAGGTTTCACATCTTCTTTGGTTTGCTCTTCTTCTAATGAGGGTTCCTCAACCTCAGGTTCACTTGTTACAGGTTCCACTTCTTTGACAGGTGTAGGTTCTTCAATTTTACTTTCAGGTTTCTGTTCCTCCTCTTGTTTTGGATGAACTTGTAATGTTAACGAGCTTTTCAAATTCGGCGTGACTGGTACTTCATATAATCCACTATCATTGGGTTGTAAATTATCGATTTTAAATTGATACGTTCCATTACCAATGTGTGTTGCTTGAACGCGTGCTGGTATTTTATTTTTTGGTTTCAATACATTTATTCCATCTTTTAATAAGATTATCTCTGATTCTAATGGTTTATTTAATTGAATTTCTAATGTGACAGATTGATTTTCAATCGGTTGCTCATCATCAACAATGTATAAATCTTTTACTACTTTAATTGGTATATTTTTAACAGTGACTTTGCATGATGTTTCAATATTGGCTAATTGAGCTGTATACTTTCCTTTTTCATTTAATTGAATATTTTTAATTGTAAGAAAATGCATCTTACCATCTTGTTCAATTTGAACACGCTCATCAGGTTTTATGGGACGTCCATCTAATTTCCAATTTGCTATTTGTTTAACATCATGTGATACTGAAAATTTTAAAACAAGATCATCTGTTTCATTTATGGTAATATCTTTCAATGGTTCAGCTAATTCCAATGTAACACTTTTTACAGTCAATGATGCTGAACATTTTTTGCTAGGTGTTGTATTATCGATAACACACGTGTACATTCCTTCATCTTTCATATCCGTATTATGAATTGTTAATAAATGATTTCGATCATCATCCGTATCAGTGGTTGCTTCAAAACGGCCCGGTACCATTGTGAGAGGTTTATTCTCTTTTAACCATTTTACACTCATATTAGGTTTGTTTAATTGACATTCAAATGTAACAGTGTCACCTTTGATAGCGTCAATCGGTTCTTAAAATCAAAAATAAATTAAAGTATTACTGTATTATTCTAATCAAAACATAAAATTACTAACCCATTTTTTGAGTAAAATCAACCGGAATTTCTTTAATTTTTAATGTTGCTGTTGTAGCTTTATTATTAGATTTGATTTTACATGTATACACTCCTTGATCTTTCAAATTTGATTCGTCGATTGTAATTGAATGTACTCGCCCTTCTACTTGTATTTTTAATCGTTGATCATCACAAGGTTTTCCATTTTTGCTCCATTCCACAAGAACATTATCTTTATTAGTCTCACAAACAAGTTCAACTGTTTGCATTTCGCTGATATCCTCATTAGGTCTGATGGTTAATTGTTTGGAAAATTCAACACCATCTAATGGTTCAACTGTTACTTGACATGCACTTTTATCATCAGGTGTACGTATTTCATATTGACCCGCATCTTGCATATTTACCTTTTGTACAACTAACGTATGTCGGCGTCCTTTTGATAATATTGTCGTATGTTGATCAGACTTCAATTCTTGACCGTTGAAAAACCATGAGATGGGTGCATGTTCGTTATCAACACGTGCTTCTAAGGTTAAATTTTGATTTTCTTGTAGTGTAAGATCTTTCAATGGTTGTGTAATTTTTGATGGATGAGCTTTAACAATCACTTGACATTTTGATTGTAAATTATTTGGACCAAGAAATTCATAGACACCGGCATCATTTGGAAGTAATGAATCTAATACTACGGTAAATTTGACCCCTTCACACGATAATTTTGTGCGTTTATCTTTTCTCAATACTTGCTGTTCGTCTTTATTATCATAGCGAACAAAACGGCAACCTTGAACGTTTGGATGAGATAATTCAACTAATAACATCAAATTTTCACCTATTTAATAAAAAAATTAATTAATGATAGAGAAATAATAGTTTAAAAACATATACCTTGAGTGATTGTAAGCGTTTCAGGTAATGGTTTGATAATTTTTATTGGTGCCTCAATTACATCCACATCCGTACTGGTTTTTTCTTCTGTTTGACGATCTACACACGTGTATCGTCCAGAATCGTTTAGCTCAGCTTGATGAACTAAAACAAAAGGGAACAAAATCCATTTACTTACAGATATCTTACAAAATATTACATACCTTTCAATTTTCTTATTGGACCATTCTCAATAATTTCAAAATGTTCGTTATCGGGCATGATTTTCTCATCATCCAAAAACCAATCAGTCGGTTGACTTTCATCGTTAACTTCACATTCAAGTATAAAATCATTTCCCTCATGTACACTCAATGCTTTTTGTAACGGTCGACGAAATACAGACTTGTTAAATGGTGATGTGATTTCGGGTACTATAGACTCAACTTCGCTCTCGTCTTCCGGATTTTCCTGAATACTTTCTGGTTCAGTAGGGCTTTTCTCTACGACTGGTGAAGGTGATTTGACTTTTTCTGGTTCATGTTCAACAGTTACGTCAGCTGAACATGATTTTTTATCGTCCACTGTTATGGTATACTTGGCAGTGTCATCATCATCACAGTCATTTATCACCAAACCTAAAACATTTTATTAAATAAGAAGAATCAAAATTGTATAAGTTTCTTACCTTGTAATTTTCCATTATTCATTATCTCATACTTGTCTGAGTCCTCAATAGGTTCTCCATTCTTTGTCCACACCACTTTTTGAGGTCTTTTTGTTAATTCGCATTCTAAAACGGTTGTCTTGTTATAATCAGCTATAACTGGTGTTGCTAATGGTTGTACAAAATCGATTCCAACTGGTTCAATTGTACATTGAGAATTTGTTTCATTATTATTTGATTTTATTACACAACGATATAAACCAGAGTCAGCACACACAGGCTGTAATATTCTCAATTTATGAACAGAATTTGTATCATCTATTTGATAATGTTTTTTCTGTTGTGGAGTAAGTTTTGTTAAATCTTGATCATCATGAAACCATACGACTGGTACAGGTTTTGATGTTTCACAAAAAAAATCGATTTGTTTCTCAGTCCCTTCGGTGATAGTCACATTATCTGGTGTTAATGGTTTAGTAAACGTTATTTCTTGTTCAACATATTCTATTTTTGTTTCACCAACTAAATTTTCAATTTTTATGGTATATGTACCGGCGTCCGACTTTTTAGGCTGAGGATATTTCAGAATGAATTCTCTGTTATTTTGTTCTAAAACTGGTCCATCTTTTACATTTGATTTTAATGTTGTTGTTCCTTTTGTCCATACAGCTTTCATCTGATCACGATTGATTTCGCATCTGATAACAAGTGGTTCTGTTGCATCCTCTTTTACATAATATACGGGCTCTAATGGAATAGTGAATTTCAACGGAGCAAGAACAATATCAACTTTAATGGAAGCTAATGGTGTTTTCGTATCATTTTTCCAGTGAAATGTATAATTGCCAGCATCTAATTTACTCGAACAAGATGGTATTTCTAAAGTGAAAATAAATCGACCAGGTTCATCGGATTCTTCTTGATAGATGTAACGACGTGGACCAATTTCCGACGAAGAATCATACGGCGTATCAGTTGTATCTATACCGTCAATAGAAATCGGTTTACCATTGAGGGACCAAGATAATTCATTCAAATCATCAGGTGCATCCACTACTGTAAGTTGAATTTTTAATGGTTCTTCTTCAGTAAGTTTTAATGATTTTGGACCATCGATCACACGCGGAATTTTGGGTTTAGGTTGTTCTGTAAAAAAACGAAAATATTATATTGACGTTAATCCAGTTCTCCACTAACACGTATCTCATACAAGGACCGAATGATTCGATTATGTTCGAAAAAATTAAGTTTTTGGTTGCAAATGTTCACAACTTCCAGGTGTCGTTTTTAGAAGAGTTCTGAAAAGTATGATGTAGTTTCTATGATGTACGAAGAAAAGTTCTACTCTAAGGAATGAAATACAAACTGTTCTTGTTAGTGATATCCTATAAACGCAGGAATTTACTTCGAAATTAAGTCCAGTATCGTGCCACTGCTAAAAACTTTCAAGTCTGTCGATGTCAGATTTAGAAAAAAAAGTGTTCAGATCGAATCACAGGATCTTTGCGCTGAATTAAATTAACTCGTTCTTTGATCTTGAGAAACTCCATCGAACTTCGCTCGAAAAGTGTTTTGGCGTTGTACTTTAGAGTTGTGTTAAAAAACCAAAAAATGATACTTTTCAAATTCTGTTGGCTTTAATAGGCATTAAATAACTGTCTGAGCTGAAATGAGAACTTATCTCTTTTTAAAATAAGAAATTTTTTTTAAACTCTTACCTTTAATAGTAAGTTCCACTGTTCTTTCATCATCATCTGTTCTTGCGCTATAAATACCAGAATCTCCTATGATTGTTGCTTTTAAAGTTAATTGGCGTTGTTGTCCATTGACCGTTATTTTATGTTGTTGATCTTCTTTTATTTCTTTGTCGTTCAGGAACCACTTCACTTTTCCATTTGGTTGATTTATTGTTGTTGTTAGAATTACGTCACTCTTTTCCGGTATGTTGTCTTTATTCGGCGATGAAACATTGATATCTGATGTGAATAAAATAGGTAACGGCTTAACAGTGATGGTTAACGATGAACTTTTTAGACCATCTTTATCTGAAATTGTTGAATCTCTGACCACCGTTTCATATTTTCCTTTATCATCAACCACAGCTTTATCAAATTGGATCCGTACTGTTGTATTATCATCTTCGTATGAGATTTGAACATGTTTATCGGTTGTAGTTGGCACACGTTTACCGTCTTTATTTAATACAACACTTTTTACCGGTTTGTTGTATTTTATAGACATTTCGAATGGATTGGTTTCACCAATTTCATTTGAGTCATTATCGACAAGATGTAATTGTTCAACTATTTTCAATTGCAGTTCTTTGACTTTCAAACGTGTCGTCGTCTCTTTTGTTTTGTCAACAGTTACCTTATATGTTCCTGCGTCATCGAGTTTAACCTGTTGAAAACGTACAGTTATTGATGGACCATCTTTCTCGATAGAGATATGTTCATTATCAACTGGTACTGGTTTGTTATTTTTGAACAGTTCAATTTTGACAGTATCATCCAATGGCCGATTGAGAACACATTGCATCAATAAGTTTTCTTCATTTTCTTCAACTTCATCGGATGGAATACATTTTAATTGCTGTATAAATTCATATGGCGGATATTCAATTTTAACATTGACCTTCTGTTCTAATTCGCCATCGTTGAATCTTATTGTGTACTCGCCTGAATCATCAATTTTTAATTGATCAAGTTTTAAACGATATTTTCCATCGATAGATGGCTCTGGTTGGTCTTCAAGAGGTTCATTATCTTTTAACCAGACACATGGCACATTTGATCGATTAATTTCACAAACCAGTTCAATTTTTTCGTTGACAAGTTGTTTTCCGATAATTTTTAGTGGTTGTACAACTTTCAATGGATGTTGTTTGACTGTCACTTCACAATCCGTTATTACTTGATCATTTATTTTTAAGGCGTATATTCCACTTTCATCCAGTTGAATTTTATCGATTGTTAACTTGAATTGTTGCCCGTCGCTGGATGGAATAGATTTGACACGTTTACTCGTGGGACCATTAGGAATCGGTTCACCATTTCTTAACCAAACAATTGTCGGTTTAGTGTCCACATTTTTTAATATTGTCGTTAGAATCAATGTGTCATTTTCAAAAACGTCTTTTTCTTGCTTTAATGGTTGTATAACTTCAATTGATTTTGGATTAACATTAACATGAACGGATTCGGATTGTAGTTGAAATGGATTTATTTTTATGGCATAATCACCTTGATCAACATTTAATTTGATATTTTTTAATGTTAATACCAACTTTTTATTATCGTTTTGACGTTCAATTTTTAATCGTTTAGATTGCTCTGAAGATAATGGATTGTCATTTAATAAAAAGACAATATCTTTATTGTCCACTATTGGTCTCGATACTTCACATTCAAAGACCAATGTATCATCAACAATCGGTTCATTGTTGGATACAGTTAATTGTTGAATAAATTCGAATGGTTTTAATACAACAACTTGTACGCTGGGTGACGATGTATTATTGTTGACAACAACTGTATAGTTTCCACTATCTTCATCGTACTTTACATTGTCGACATACAACTGCCATTTTTGTCCATCTTGTTTGATTTTGATACGATCATTATCAATTGATACTGGAACATCTTTGTGCTTAAATATGACATTCTTGTACGTTGGCTTGTCCAGTTCACATTCGAGTACCAATGTTTCGTTTTCTTCCAACGGATTCTTTAATGCTCTCAATGGTGTGGTAAATTTCACCTGCTCAGGTTTAACTGCAAGTTTAACCACATCGCTTTTCACTGGTTCACGATCGTCGTCGCCTGTTATCACTAATTGATAATCACCGGACATTACCGGCTGAAGCTCCGATATCCGAAATAATACTTTCGTTCCATCTATAAGTAACTCATTGTTATCCTCCTCGATTGATAACGGTTGACCATTCAGTAATAAACTTAAGCTTTCGCTATCTGAAAGTGGTCGACTAAGCTCACATGTAAACTCAACTGTTTCATTTTCAACCAAATTCGTCTTGTTGGCTTTTAACTGTTTAACAAATTTCAGTGGTTTTATAGACACAGTCACGGATATTTTGTCACTTTCAACATCTTTTACACGAACACTATAAGTACCAGTGTCTTCTTGAGGTTTTGCATTCTTGATAGTTAGTTTCAATTTAGCTTTGTCTTGCGTGATTTGCACATTTTCGTTAGCCTCAATAGGTTCACCATCTTTCAACCACACTATTTCATCATATGGTTTGTTCAGTTCACATTCGAAGATGATGGTTTCTGACGCTTCTAACTGATTTTTATTCACTTTCAGATTTTTAACAAACTTCGGGATGTCTGCATTGACCACGATTGAGACTGGTTCACTCTCTAAATCATCGTTGACAATCACTGTGTAATCGCCAGATTCGTCCAATTTCACATTNAGATTCGTCCAATTTCACATTGTCTAATGTAAAGCGAATTTTCTTGTCTTTAGTATCGTCTTTTATTCGTTGTTCGTCGACTACTTCGCCATTCTTCATTAGTTGAACTTTAGACGGTTTTTGATCTAGCTCGCAATCAAACACTAGCTGTTCTCCTTCAAGTAAACTGGTTTTGTTTGCTTTTAAAGGTTTAATAAACTTGAGCTGCTTTTTGTTGACAGTCACGGGGATTTTGTCACTTTCGACATCTTTTACACGAACACTATAAGTGCCGGTATCTTCTTGAGGTTTTGCATTCTTGATAGTTAGTTTCAATTTAGTTTTATCTTGCGTGATTTGCACATTTTCGTTAGCCTCAATAGGTTCACCATCTTTCAACCACACTATTTCATCATATGGTTTGTTCAGTTCACATTCGAAGATGATGGTTTCTGACGCTTCTAACTGAGTTTTATTCACTTTCAGATTTTTAACAAACTTCGGGATGTCTGCATTGACCACGATTGAGACTGGTTCACTCTCTAAATCATCGTTGACAATCACTGTGTAATCGCCAGATTCGTCCAATTTGAGATTATCTAATGTAAAGCGAATTTTCTTATCTTTAGTATCGTCTTTTATTCGTTGTTCGTCGACTACTTCGCCATTCTTCATTAGTTGAACTTTAGACGGTTTTTGATCTAGCTCACAATCAAACACTAGCTGCTCTCCTTCAAGTAAATTGGTTTTGTTCGCTTTTAAAGGTTGAACAAAGGTCGGTTGAGGACGGAGTTTTTCTTCTTCTTTTGCCTCAACTGGCTGTTGGTCTTGTAACGTGTCATTTGGCTGTTCTTTAATTTCTTCGTCGGACTGTTTTGCAATTTCTGCAGATAATTCATCTGTATTTTCTTGAAGTTCTTGTGATGCGGTTTCGGTTGAGTCTCCCTCTTTTTGTGCTTCAACTTCGAGGTTTAGCTCCTCCATTTGCTCCGGTATTGACTGTTCTTCTGGTTTTTTGGCTATAACGTGGACGAATGGAGTTTCTAAAACAAGATGCGGACTTTTTAATGTGTAAACACCTTCGTTCAAATCTGGTTTAAGATCTTTTATGATTAGCGTGTATGTGGATCCATTTTTCTCAATTCGTTTATTGTCGTCTGGTTTGATCTCTTCGCCATTTTGCAACCAAACAAAATCTTCGTCTTGATCTTGATCGAAGATGCATTCGATCTGCAAAACTTCACCCTCGTTGAAGGTTTCTTTTGGCAAGGATAGAACATCGTAAATAACTGGCTTTGGTAAGACTTTGAGCAACATCAACTTTTCTTTTTTATCAGATTTGTCGAATGAAACAGCGTAGACACCTTCATCACCTGGGATAACTTTTTTGATTGTAATTTCTGTTGATGTCGGTGAGATAGATTGCAGACTAAGTCTAGTACTTGGCTCGATCTTTGTTTCATCTTTAAATAATGTGATCTGAGATGATTTAGGCCGTTCGATAGTCAAGTTAACAGTATCACCCTCTACAACTTCGTGCACAGGTAATTCAGTGTCAGATGGTTTCGACTTGTCTTCATCATCTTGCTTCTCATCCGAAAGAATGATTTCATCTTCAGTTTGTTTTGTTTCCTCCATTGTAATTTCGGATGATAGTTCTTCTATTATTGGTTTCTCGGCAGGGAGAACTTCGATCATGGACAATGGTTTTAACTTACCATTAATTTCGGCAAAATAGCGACCAGCATCATTCATATCAATATCACTTATAACAACATAATTGTCGGTTGTGCCATCCTTTTCGATTGTTATTCGATGATGGTCAGTGGGTAAGAGTTGGTCATCTACACGAACACGGATTTCATTTGATTCCACATTCTTAGTATCAGGTATACGTAAAGTTACAGTATCTCCTTCGGTCACTGTCATCGTGGTTAAAGGTTGAACAGCATCTGAAACTTCTTCGACTATTTGTGTTGGAGTTTCCTGTAATGGTTCAGTTTGCTTTTCCTCAGTTTTCTGTTCAAATACTGGTTGATCCTCTACTTTGGGTTGCTAGGAAAAAAACGTAATAATCTCGCGTTAATGGAATACACACAATTAAAAATTATAAAATAGCATCTTTAGATAACCTTGCTCTCCAATATATGTTTGGATAATCTACTCATTTTAAACAGTAAATGTTCTTTTTATTTAACATGTTTTAGTGTAAAAATCATAAGAGAGCAGTTTGGCTTGGATAAATGCGAAACTAATCACTAATATGCTATACGTTGAACTATAGATCAGTACAATAATACTAAACCTTATAAAGATGTGCAGAACAGAACAGGGCATAGTTAGATCAGCCACAGTTAGTCGCCTCGTACATCTCACAAGATTATTTATACTTCTTTTACAACATAATAAATCATTATGATTTGAAGACAAAATATTTCTGTTTAGCGCTACATATATTTTACAAGCATAACATTAATCCCAACTCAATTTGAACCTAATCATTCTTTAGTAAATTTGTTCAGTATTCTGAAAAAAATCCGATGTATCTGCCTTATCTTATTACAAAAATCACAATTCTGACCACGTTCATACAAGAAATTCGACCAAAAGTCAGCAGTTATAACAAAGCTTTTTTGCTATCAGTCTCCACTACGCGAAGTGTCAATACAGTTCTCAAACCATATTTATACTCCAAACTCACTAGTGCAGGCACATGTAAGATCATACTTTGTCTAACTTCAATTGATGTATGTGGTACAATAATATTTGACGTTATACATACAATGGAGCAAAACTTACCACATCTTCAATTTTTTGCTCTTCTTCCTTTTCCGCTGCTTGTACAATGGGTTCTTCAACTCTTTGAGCTTCTTCAGCAGGTATCTGTGGTTCAATAAATTTCTCCTCTTGTTTGCTGATTTCAACTGATGGCTGTGCTTCAGGCTAAAATTGAAAATCATCGTAAGAAAAATAAATTTGCTATATTTTAGCCGCTTTCTTCTTAAGTTATGCCAGAAAAAAATTAATCTGAAGTACATTTATCAGAAAAATAAAAAAATGAATACCGTATTAGCAAAAGAAAATGAAATACTGCTATGGAATCGACATAGGTTTTAGACACTATATGCTAAGTGTTTGAGACACATATTCCAAGAATTATACGCTTTTTCATAATACCCGCCTACTTTGACTAGAATTAACAAAATTAACTAATTATACATATTTTTCATACTTCATTTTATTCATACGCGGTCAAATTTGCCTAATTTGAGCAACATTCTAGTGACTGCTAGAATTCTGATTCAATTAGTTCAATTTTAGGTCAAAAGTGCTGGACTTCCATACCGAATAGTATTTCTGTATATAGACGTCAAAACTCTTCCATCCAAATTGATGACTTTCCCTACATCTTCAGTTAGTTTTCGAAGCTGTGCCGATTAATTCCTCATAGTTAAAACAACATTTCACACTAATAAATCAACCTTTTAGTCAAAACTAGAGTATAAATTAATTGCCTCTAAAATTCTGAAGAGACATGGGATTTTAACGTCACAGGTCATCATGCCGTCTGGAAGGGTACGAGAGACCCATTTATAGCACAGTTCCAGTTTTCAAATAACAACAAACCACATCAGTTTCCATCTATCCTAGAAACGTCATTCGCGCAAAACAGTCCATACACACCACATGTTTTCCAAATACATTAAAGTACGATACCTGCACTAGAAAAAACCGAACTAAACACAAATTTCCATGACATTCTACAAAAATCTATACAATACTACTCTGCTTTTCGGAGGTGCAGCGCAAAAAACCTCCACCTGATCGTTTCCTACTCGTCCAAACCTTAGACGAGAATAGAAAACTATATATGCAAATACCGCACCAAACACAGAGCGTTGCTTAAAAGCGTAAAGCAAAGAATAAAAGCAAAACACAAAAACTTTCGATCTCCTACTTGTTCAACAGTTTCACTTTTCTTTTCATCCTCCTTATTTTCAGTTGGTGCGGTATCGACCACTTGTTCCGGTTTCTCATCCACCACCTTCTCTTGAACCGGTTTCTCTTCAACCACCTTTTCTTCAACGGGCTTTTGTTCAACAGGCTTTTCTTCAATCACCTTTTCTTCTACTGGCTTTTCATCAACCGGCTTCTGTTCAACCGGCTTTTCTTCAACCAGCTTTTCGACGACTTCAGGTTTCTCTTCAACCACCTTTTCTTCAACAGGCTTCTGTTCAACAGGCTTTTCTTCCACTGGCTTCTGTTCAACCGGCTTTTCTTCAATCACCTTTTCTTCCACTGGCTTTTGTTCAACTGACTTTTCTTCAACAGGCTTTTCTTCAACCACCTTTTCTTCTACTGGCTTTTCTTCAACCACCTTTTCTTTGACAGGCTTTTCTTCAACCACCTTTTCTTCTACTGGCTTTTCTTCGACAGGCTTTTCTTCAACCACCTTTTCTTTGACAGGCTTTTGTTCAACCACCTTTTCTTCAACCCCCTTTTCTTCCACTGGCTTTTCTTCAACTGGCTTCTGTTCAACAGGCTTCTCTTCAATAGGCTTCTCGACGACTTGTTCAGGTTTCTCTTCAACCACCTTTTCTTCCACGGGCTTTTCTTCAATCGGCTTTTGTTCAACAGGCTTCTCGACGACTTGT